TATATATACTGTATCCTGGCACGACTTCAGTCTAGTGTTACTGAGTTAGGAATCACACATCATGTTAACTCAGTGTAACAAAAGGTGTTCCTCAGGGGTCCATCCTCGAACCACAAATCTTCATCAGAATATCTAGTGACCTTTTTAAACTGATAATTCAAGAATTCAAGGATTTTTATTGTCATACCAGCTTTGGTTTGTTGTATGAAATTTGTACTCAGGTCCCAGATTAAGAATCCACAAAATAAATAATAATAATGTAATATAATAAAATAATAATGTACACGTGTAAATAATTTAAAAGAGATGAGCTGTCTGCTGTTTCTCAGCCTGGTAGTTTTGTTCTGGATTCGCCTCAGCCTCCAGCCTAATGAAACTATTGTTGTGTACCCACACATAACCAGGGTCTCCATCAACTTTTAAATACCTTTCAGTTTTTGTTGGATGTTAAAACCTTTTCTGAATTCCAACAAAATTAAACTTGTGTTCTCAAACGTAAAAACCACAGTTTTTCATTTGTGTCTATATTTTAAGCTTTTAAGATAGCTTTAATGTACAGATCCTTTCACATTGATCATTAATCTAATGTACTCATCCTACCAGTGACTGGGAGGAAAACTCAAACAGAAACAGGGTGTGTTTTTTACATTCAGGTCATTTTATTGCTCTTTAGACCAAAATGTGATGRCACTTTTGGTTTCTGTGCTGACAGATCATTTTACTCATGCATCTTTGCAATGTTTGCATGTATTAGATCACGTGTCAAACTCAAGACTCAGGCCAAATGTGGCCCACCACAGCATTTGATGTGGCGAGTGAGAGCTTCAGAGATATATAAATGTATCAAAATTAGCTGATTTAAAGCCAGCATTGATCATAAACTACATCTCCCATAATGCATGTTGATTATTTTCCTGCAAAATGATCAGCTCAGTTATTGTTTGTTAGTGGTGCTCAGTTGCAATGAGACGAAGAACGTGACGTTTCATGTTTAGTCAAAGTTAAACATTAGACGTTGAAGTTAATTACAACTGACCCRTTGAGGACCATCGTGATGCTCRCGTTGGCCCTCAGTGAAAATGAGTTTGACACCCATGCATGAGATAATCAGACACAGAGCAGTAAAGTCCATTGCAAATCTCAAAACTCTTAAAAGCAGATGAAATTCAGAGAGCTCAGTAAAAGCTGTGTTAAAGGTAAAGGATGTGCATCTTGCAAAACAACGACAGCTTTTTGGTAAAACGGAGAAAGTGGCCTCGTAATTGTTCATCTTTTTCTCTTTCCTGATTCCCTGCCCTCCCCACTCCCCTCAGCCTCCCTGCATCCCTCCTCCGCTCTCGCAGCTCGAGCATCCTCCTAATTTTCTGCTCACTCTCTCGCTCCGGAGCCCACATCTCGCCTCGCACTATGCCATCGGAAACAGTATTGGATTTTGTGCCGTAAGCTCCCTCTCTCTCTCTCTCTCTCTCTCTCCCTTTCTCTCTCTCTCCCCTTCTCTCTCTCTCTCTTTCTGTGCGCTCCTCGGAGACCAACTAAAGGATGGTTGGTCAGCAGAAGTGCTGGGAAGCCGCTCGTTTTCCCCTGCCAACATTTTAATCRCTCTGGGGAGGGAGATCCAGACCTCGCTGACATTGAAATGAGTCCCATTTGTTATTTCTGGAATTGGTGAGAGGAGCCCAATCTGCGCGTGGGAGACCCTTTGAAGAAGTTTGATTGCGCATCGTCATTGGCGGTAAGGCTCTGGAAAACTGTGGCAGCAGAGCGCTGCTTTGACAGGCCAGATAGAGCGAGATGTAGTGGGCAGCAGAGGAGAAACAGGCTTTCTGCTGCTGCTGGGAAGGAGCTGCATCGGTTCGACTTGCTGATGAGAGCAGAGGGAGGAGGAATCCGTCGCCCCTGCGTGTCGGGTTTTAGTCGGCTCTGTGGATAAGTGGGGTGGTGAATGAAGAGGAGGCTGAGGAGAAGCTCAGAGGGAGTCCAGCAGGAGGCAGATTATAGTCGTGCTTCTTGAGAACCTTGGATTTTTTTATTTTTTTATTGCATGTTGGTATGCAGCAGTGTAGGAGTATTTCACATGTTCAGTTTTAGCAGAAAGAGACAGACTGGAAAGASATCCAACATCTATTAATGTCTTCTTTTCAGCTGCCTTAGGTCTAAAAGTAAGAGGGCACAAAGATAACTGATTATTCAGTCTTTATGATTAGGTAGTTTTCATGTTTCCTTATTTATTACTGGTACAACAAAGGCTGCAGGAGGCATTTTCACAGATTTATACAATTAATTTGATGCTATTAGAAATGAWGCAGACAGTATGAGTGTAGTGTGTGTGTGTTTTTAGGAATGGGAGATGGAATGTGCAGCTCTGCCATGAGACGTCTGTGGTTCTGTGTCTTGGTTGTGAGCATCACCTGCCGTCTGAGGTAAGAAACTGATCCCTGCTCTTCTTCAACGCCACAACATTGCTTAACAAGACTCGTTATCTCTGGGGTACTCTCTAGAACAGTCGGTTGTTGTTTTTAAAGCATTTTGTTGTAGTTTACAGTTTACATGTTTGTAACTTTGAACTGCTCTCATGCAGCTTCTCTCAGGATGTTACTGGAACACCCAATAATGCYGAGTTAAACGACAACATCACCATCTTCACGCGCATCCTGGATGGCCTGCTGGATGGATATGACAACCGGCTACGCCCGGGGCTGGGAGGTAAAAAAAAACTACAGATTTAACTAGTAGAAAACAAGTTAAGTTCACAAATAGTTCACCAGTTCTCTGCTCTGGAAAATGTCTTTACATTATGGGACAAAAACTCAAGTGCAGCTGAATGTCTTTGAAGTCTCTGTAATATATGAATAACAGAGATCCATTTTKTAAATTTGCAAAAAGTATTTTTTTATTAAACGACTAGAAGGCACTAAAGTCAGAGGCTTTCTAAAGAAGTTGTTACTATTTAATTTTAATAACAGTCAAGAATTTTCTGGCTAAAAATGCTATTTTTTTCTAACAAAACCTTGACCAAAATATACTATTTATGTTACTTTTTGCTATATTTCCCTCTAAGACATTGCAGTCCATGGATGTCACATATTCAGTCTAACTTTAAGAATTTTAACTTTTTTCACGTTATTCCATCAAATATTGCAACGTGTCACTTTTACTGATCTAACAGCTGCAGCAGGTTTTGATCTTCAAATGTTGTGATGTTTAATCTTCTTCCCTTCACAGAGAAGGTGACAGAAATTAAAACCAACATCTTTGTCACAAGCTTTGGTCCCGTCTCTGACACTGAAATGGTAAGAAACACTTTCACTTGATTTTACACAATTAATGTTGCTGGTCATCACTGTTGAGCGCAAACCTGATGTTTCCATTTTTTAATCGTTATCATATTATGTGCAATAATCAGSGGTGATCAGCAGAATCACGATCTGATTGTTCATGAATGAGTTGTGTTTGTGTGTGGTGTGTTGTCTCTTGCCGTGTGCCTGTACTCCACACACTGTAGGACCAAACCTGGTACTGTATATCTGTGTTTTTTTTATCCTCATGTGTCGTGTCTCTCAGTCTTTGAAAATCAGCTGACAATTTTAACATCTTGCCGGCAAGTGTAGTATGCTAAAGAAATAAAAAAATTAGGGAAGCTAACACTAACCGCTAAAACGACTGTTACTCAGCCTGTGTCACACTGACTGGGTTTCAGTTCATGGGTTGCAGCCACATTGTTGGCTTCTTACGTCACTTCCTTTCGCAGTAAGTTGTCCCRATTCATAGGCGCCTACTCATGCAGCCGACAGATTCGGCTGACAAAATTCCAAAAACATAAAACAATAGGCTGCATCTGAGTATCCTACGCAGGCACAATATTCCCAGATCCATTGTGCTCTCAGCAAACTAAACAGAAAAATGAAGATGACAGAAGTTTTTACAGAGTTATGAAATTCATCACTGACTGAAGAATTTGTTTTTAAATGTATGTTTAGCATTGTAGCTGATTCAACTTTTGCTGCAGTGAGAGGTTAAATAAAATGCAACAATAAGTACTAGTTCTAGTAGTACTGAATTATGTGAGGTTATACCATGAAAGGACAACTGAAGGCATGTGGTATAAAATGCATCACCATGGTAACATGTGGTCACACAAACACACGTCATCAGTAGACTAGACCGTCTCATTTCACAACCGTTTACGGAGACAACACAAGCGGCCTACGGCCCACATAGACTGTGGTCATCATGAACCTCAGTCTGCATCGGTTGCAACCCCTGAGACACAGCTAATGGGTCAGACTGGTGGGACTGACACATTMGGGTGGTCCTCTACAGTATGCCAAAAATAAAAATGCGACTTTTTTTAAGGTGCTTCCTGACAAAATTGTTCATTTTGCAAAGAAAATCTTTTGTACCAAATTTTATGTCAATACAACTTTTCCAACCACTGCTGCATGTGGGGTGAAMATTAGAATGGTTGAGCTCATTCGTGCATGCCAACATGCTTGTTTAGAAATGAAACACAAAGTGAAACAACACGGCAGCATAGTGGCTCAGTTGGTAGAGACACCTGTCAGCAAGAAGGTCGCTGGATCGGATCCCGGCCCGGGGACCCTCTGAATGTTCTCTCTTTGCATATGTGGGTTTTCTCCAGGTGTTTTGGCTTCCTTCCACAAACAAAATTAGTAACTCTAAATTGTCCCTAAGTGTGAGTGTATGGTTGTTTGAATGTGGTCCTATGATGGACTTGTGACCTATTCACGGTGTACCCTGCCCCTTACACAATGAGTGCTGTGGACACCAGAAACCCCCCATGGATGGATGAACAATGATTCTCCCTCATTTACATGGGATTACAAGACAAATATAAAATAAAATAAATAAAATAAAAATNAAATTGTCCCTAAGTGTGAGTGTATGGTTGTTTGAATGTGGTCCTATGATGGACTTGTGACCTATTCACGGTGTACCCTGCCCCTTACACAATGATTGCTGTGGGCACCAGAAACCCCCCATGGATGGATGAACAATGATTCTCCCTCATTTACATGGGATTACAAGACAAATATAAAATAAAATAAATAAAATAAAAATAAATGTTAATGTTCACATATTTGGTGAGAACAAACAGTCATGAAGAGTGACATTTGGTTATGACTTTCTTCACTTACGGGAACTGACATCTAATGCCACCCAACAACTTTCAGCATGTACTGTATTGCCACTGCTGATCACCTGATGTAATCCTGGGTGAGTTCCTTGTTTATTAACGTCATTGACATCCTCATCATTGGTCACATACACTCTAATCATTAGTCGCTTACATCCTAATCACTGGTCACGTACATCCTAATGCTACACAGAATCTGTCATGATGATTGAAATAATGGGTCATCCTCCCATTCTAATGGGTCCTTGACAAAGTTCATGTTGATGCTGAATGCCTCAAAATGGGACTTGATGTAACATATGCCACAGTTTTGGTAACAATAGCTTCATTTGCTTCTAGGTCCACTGTTGCACATGACTGAGGATCATTGTGACCTTCCTCCTTGAGAACAGCTACGATCAGCATGTGCAAAGCTGCTGTCAAATATGACAAGTCTGGCCAGTTCTTTACTCAGATACTGGCTAACGTCTCGCTGGTGGCCTTGGCAATGACAGTATCAGAACTCAAAATTTCACTTGCATGGCACAAAAACGGGTTGAGCGGCAGTGGTTAATATATTTCAAATCTTATGAAATTTCACCCTATTTATTTCCCCCCCAAATGGAACAAAAGAAGAAGAAGAAGAAGAACCTTGGAAAAGTAGAAATTTGTATTTGGGGACCACCCTACTGACACATATTGTTAGTTTTCTACTGGTTTAATTTGAAGGTGGGTGGGATCATTTGTGACAAATTGGCCAATCCAAACCAGAGTTATAGCTTTGTCTAACTTATGATACTTCCAGTTTAGCTCCTTAAGAATAAAAACATTTATTTAATTATGTTTACATATACTGTTTGAAGTTAGTCAAGCAACAAATAGCAAATACTTCCTCTACCATATTTTATGGGTAGTCAGTTTATGTACTTGCTATTTAAATAATGTTAAATGTTATTATAAATATTTCTTTTTGATTCTCTTAGTTTAGCTGCTAAAGATGCTACATGCTACACACACGGTGCCTAACATGTCCAAACCCGCTTGTAACTGCGGATAGTTTTTATTTAATTTGAGATAAATGGCATAAAAACAGCAGTTTTACACTTGTGAATTTTTTAGTGGACTTAAAATTAGCAGAACTTAATTAAGCAGCAAATCAGTCCGCTAACAGTTTTCAAAGATGGCAAAAAGCTAATTTGCTAAATGAGATGTTAGTTCTGCTAGTAGCGGATTAGCAGAACTCTGCCCACCACTGTGTTTTATGAATTCTCACATTCACACACTGCAAATAAAACCTGTTTCCACCACTWTGCACACGTCCTTTTATCTGCTCCMTGTGTTTCATACTGAGCAGCTCCATGTTTTTCTGCAGGAGTACACCATCGACGTCTTCTTCCGTCAAAGCTGGAAAGATGAGAGGCTATGCTTCTCAGGCCCGATGCAGATGCTGGCTCTGAATAACCTGCTGGCCAGTAACATCTGGACCCCTGACACCTTCTTCCTGAATGGGAAAAAGTCCATCGCACACAACATGACTACACCTAACAARCTGCTGAGGCTGAAGGATGACGGGACCCTTCTATACACCATGAGGTAAGTTTTCTATCTGTCAGCCTGCTGTGCAGTCGAGTAAACCCACCCAATCAGTCTTACATTTCAAAACACTGACTCAGGAGAGCTGCAYGTTGTGTAATCCAATTAGCCATAAAAGGATGACTAAAACCTCCACCTGCTTCTTCTTTAGATTTAATGGTTTKTGAGACCCCCGCTGCACAGAGGCAGCCCACGCACGCATTCTGTGTGTGTCAGCAGCACACTCCTGCATTAACTGGTTTGTCTTCGTGGAGCAAACAGGAAGTCAGGGGAGCTTGAAATATTTTCTTTGACCTGAGCTTCATGTTCCTCTCACACTCTGTCTCTAACTCTAACTGAGGCTATGACGCAGTCTGATTCTTTAAGTCCTGCTTCCAGTCCAGATTTCACCATTCAAAGCTCATACAGTTATCAAAGCTGCCTTTGTCAGRTGTTAATATGTTCTTCTTTTTGTAGGTCGTATTTAGCAGTTTATTAAAAATTTGTAAACTAGCTNATTCAAGAAATATTGATATAGGAAACTTTAAATTTTAACAATGTATTTTATGGTAAGATATTTGTGCTTTCATTGAAGAATCACTTTGATGTACTTTATATAAGACTTTCTGCCATAGACCATCATCTAGAGCCTGACTGCACCATCATCTTGGTGAATAGGTAGCCCCACAATTGTACTGATTGTTTTCCTGGGATCTTCTGAGTAAATGTGCCACTTACCGGTTTATATATTTCACAGGTAAGTAACACTGTTATGCATGCCTCTGGTGTTATTTCATTGCAAAGGACAAGAAACATTTTTCACAAAAGGAAAAAGAAAGATTTACTAAATCACAGGCTTTCCGAGATTTCAGCAAGATTGGCAATGCATTTAAATGGCTCTCCTCTTCAGGCATACGGTCGGGGGTGATTCATTGACATTTTAGGCATTTTCCATGGCATTTTAAATTACACACAGAACGTACAAAATGAGTTGTTCCAATGTTGTTCCAATGAGATTTGCTTTTAGGACCATGCTGCAGGCTGCAGGGTGTTGAGCGTGGCAAAGACTGAAAAGTAACACGATTTTGTTTTTCAGGTGCTAATTTTTGGAACCATGCTTGTTTTTCTGTCTAAATCATTACATAACATTCAGATTTATTCACAAATTTATTCCACAAACAAGGCACCTGATTTTGCTGGCAAGATTTCTGTCAGAGAAACAAATGAGCATAATGAGCAAATGTCCATTACATGTGTGGCTGGCAAAAGCTTCAGTTAGAAGAGCAGTGAAATGACTCAAACGCTGGGTAAAGGGGAAAAAATCATTAAGCAGGTATTTATTCTGAACTTTTTAAAAGGGGTTGAAAGGTTAGGTAAGGAGGAGGTCTTTGGAGGAGCTGCAGCTGAAAAGTGTTTTGTTTGATGAAGGAGGCGTGCAGGACAGAAAGTGAAGCCAGGGAGACGATGTGGAGGTTAGAGAATGAGGTTTGATGAGGGCAGACAGGCTGCGGCAGCAGACTGAACCGGTAAAAAGAAGCAAACGGAAAGACGTACGAGTGAAATTGCATAAAATCCTTGGAACACAGTTCAGAGTTGAGACAGAGTCTCTCAGTTGTCTACAGGGTAGCATTGTTGGCTGTATTCTACCAATATCTAAGGCTTACTGAGTTAGTAACTGAGCTTCATAAAACATCTTTTAAAGTGTCTTAGTTGTTGCAGTTCTTAGAAAAACTTCAGGCCCTGTTCACATGTAAGCAATTTCTGGAAATATTAACATTTCTCCAAAAGTGACTATGGGCAAAACCCACCAGGGAGCCACAGTTACTCATTGCCAAGAGCTCAGGAGTCAGACATTGTGTTGACCCCTGACAACGGTAGGGAAAGTACAGTATCATTGTATTACCTTTTTAAAATTGTTTATTTTATTGCATAGAATCATTAATTACCTCCGCCAAGGGGATGTTTTCGGTCGCAAATGCCTGTCTGTCGGTCTGTCTGTCGTTCTGTGAAAAAAAAAACTATTCAAAAACTCGTGGACGGATTGTCATGACATTTTTACCACATGTGTGTATTGGCCAAAAGAACACACCATTCAATTTTGGTGATGTTCTTTTTACCACATGTGTGTATTGGCCAAAAGAACACACCATTCAATTTTGGTGATGTTCCAGATCACAATGCGAATACAGGAATTTTTCTATTAATTCAAGTGAATCAGCCGCACTTTGCAGTGTCATTACGTCACAGCATGTCTGTAGAAAACGGGAAGTGAAGTCGCAAACTCGCTGGGACTACACCTCCCAGGATGTCTACTATCAGGAAAGTTGTGATTATTCTGTTATCAACTAGTATTGCTGATGTTACTGCTGTCTGGAGACGTAGAAAAAGAAATACGATTCTCTTCATGTTATGGGAATAAATGGGTAGACACTGACAGCGGGTGGGGG